AACAAGTCCATCGAACTTGACGCATCTGCTAATAATTTTTTCATCTAGCTTAAAAAAGCCATCGCGGATGCCACTCCACTTATGTATGAGGATCCTGCAGAACCATTAGGTATCGGAGGCGGTGCATCTGACAATGAAATCGGCCCACTTCTGCAGCAACTGGTCAGTGAAAAGTGGCAACCACTCCCCGTTTACTCGGTGCGCCTACAGTGGGCACAAACAAAGTACGGCATATTCTGTAAAGAACTTCTGTCCATGTACTTTTCTACACACTACGTCCGACATTCACTGGAGGATCGTGAATTCATAATTTTCACTGACCACAAACTACTTACGCACCCTCTGAACTTGAGTTAAAATAACTATTCACCGAAAGAATCACGACAACTCGACTACCTTTCACAGTTTACATCGGATATTCACCATGTGTCCGGAGTGAAGAAAACTGTGGCAGATGCCTAGTTGTGCATTTGTTCTCTAGCCCAAATAGATGGCATAGACCTTGTGAAACTGGCTCGTCTTCGAAAAGAAGATACCGAGCTTCACCATGAGTTGTCGAAAACAACTCTGTAATTAGCCGAGAAACCCTTAGGCATAGGAAGAGACACTGTCCTTTGTAACATTTCTATTAGTACTCCTCGTCTCGTCGCGTCTAGATGTTTTCGCCGTGACGTCTTCAGTAAGTTGCATAGCTTATCCTACCCAGGTATGTGAACTACCGTCAAGCTCATACCTAGTCGGTTTTGTTGGCCTGGTATTGATAAGCAAGTAAGTGCCTAGCTTGCAAAAAGTGCAAGGTAGTAAGACACACCAGAAGGCTCCTTGGCAATTTTCTCACCCCTGGTGCTCGTTTCGAACACGTTCATGTCGATCTGGTTGGACTCCTTCCAGAATCTTATGGATATACGCATATCTCGACCTGCATTGACTGTTTATCACGAGTCCTGAACCCGTATCCCCCGAGGATGTATCTGCCAAAACAGTCACACGCGTCTTTGTCAAACGATGGATGGCGAATTTTAGATGCCCATCCTTCACAACAACTGACTGAGGACGGATGTTCGAAAGCGGCTTGTCCTTAGCTTTGATTAAAATACTAGGTTGTACGCCTTACAACAGCCCATCATCCTCAAGCAAATGGTATGGTAGAACGCTTACACTGACAGTCGAAGGCTGAAATGTCGTGAACACTTTACATTGAACTGAATGACTACCGTTAGTTCTCCTCGGCAAATGAAACGCCTTGAAACCTGGTGCCTGTTGTACTACTGCTGACAGATGAATTTTCTGGTGTTTTTTTGTAGTAATTTTGTTTTCGCCATCTAGCTTTCCACTGGCTGCAGAACACGCCTCATATGTCATCAGGCTAACACAGTCCATATACGTCTTTGTTCAGCCATGCCTGGAAACCCCTTCACATGTTTTGTTCGTCGTGACTCCGTAAGTCGCCCACCGGAACTCCAATACGATGGACCACATAAAGTCATCACACAAATGGACGAATTCTACTCCTAGACAAAAAAGGCTGCGAAGACCCCGTTAGTATTGATCGTCTGAAACCAGATTACGTAAAAGGAAATCGTATCAGCCTAGAACTAAGCGTTCCGAGTAATACACAGCTGACTAAATACCATTTAGTCCTCAGAGAAATAATCAGCACAACTAATATAACCGAACCTTTTATTGAGTCCCAAAAGAAAATACTTTCTGGTCGAACAGTGATATTCTCAGAGCACCTTCATACTTATCTTACAGAATAAGACTACTGTGCCCCACCCATTTTTGTTCTGAAAATCTATCCCGATAATGATACAGTTTTAATTCATGTAGGTTATTTTTCATTGTATTTAGCATCATAAATTAAGTTTTTTATGGCTGCACATGTAACAACAACTGCTTAAAGATTTTTTCAGTGTTCCCTTTTACGTGTTATTCTTCGTACTTTTTATGTATACATTTGTTCAACCGAGTCATTAGTATACTCCTGAAATATCAGATAGTTCCTAAAATGTGTGCAGTGTGCCTAACATTTGCTTTGATATTTAATTATACTCTGTAGAAAAGGCCTGTGGTGAGTACTTAGTCTGCTCCGGTGATCTGCAGTGCACGGTAAATCTATGCTGGCTGGGACCAAGAATGACTAAAAGCGAATATCTCCATGTGTTAAATTTTGGTATTTTTTGATCATTGAGTAGACCGTAGATAACCCCAATCTTAATATGGAGTTGCAGAAGGACGGTAAAAAGCAGCAGATAATAAGTGATCACTGACCCTGGAGAATATAACTGACTGCAAATCAAACTTGCCACACATACAGCTCAGTATACCTGCATAGGGTAATTACGACTTGAACTTGCTCAGACATTTGATTTTGTATTATGTGTCGCAGGGTTCTATCCTAGGACCACTGTTGTTTTTGATTTTTATCAATGATCTACCATGCCGTCTAAGCTGCCCGACTCTTCTATACGCTGACGACGTAAATATATGGAGGACGATAAAGTGTCCGGAGGACTCATAAAGGTTGCAGGCAGATCTAAAGCTTCTGGAAGACTGAGCGGTGGCCAGTGGTATGACTTTCGACCTGAAAAAGTGCAAAGTAGTGAAGTTACGCACCTGTAGACTGCAGAATGCAAGTTACACCCTGTGCAATGAAAGCTTGTCCTGCACAGCGTCGGAACGCGACTTAGGTCTAGTTCTAACGGAAAAAATGGACACAAGCGTAAATTACACGGGGGATGCAGCGAGGGCATATGCAGTCATACACTTTACACTTAGACAGTTAGGTGCACTCACACTCCTGAGCCTTTTCTAAGGTTGTACAAATCATACGTCAGACCACACCTTGAAGTGCATAATATTATTGCACCCACTGCTTAGAAGAGACGTCAACCTCTTGGAAAGAGTCCAAAGACGGGCGACAAAAGGAGTGGTTGGTCTCCGAAACAAACCATATGATGAAAGGCTAAAGAAATTAGTCCTACTCACACTTAGCTACCATCGGCTTAGGGGGGATTTAGTTATTATTATTATTATTCTTGTATCCTTTAATTCCTAGAGGAACATAGGGCTTCAGCCGTGCGTCTCCATTGCGCTCGGTTCTCTGCTAGAGTCTCCACCTGGCTCCATGTCTGCCCACACGTTTTCATCTCCTTTTTACATGACCTCCTCCAAGTCACCCTTGGACGACCAACTCGCCGCCTCCCTTTCGGGTTCCACTCAAGGGCTTGTCTAGTGTTGTTTACAAAATAACAAATGAACAGAATCACCCAAACAAAAGTGTTCTGACATTGAGTTGGTATAGGCTCCCTCGTGGAAATCCCAGAATGGTAGCTCACCATAGGGCAAGGACTCGGGTGCGCTCCCACTTCTTTTCCCTGCGGGTTTGCCGTCCCTGGAATTCCTCATGTGAACGCCTTTAAGCGAAGGCTGGACAACCATGCAGCGACACAAGGACTGCATCCAAATGGCCTATCCCCTTAAAATCGCGTACACCATTGAAGGGTAGACAATTAAACTTGTCGTTTTACTTCTTTACATTCTCTCCCGTCTTACTCTCCTGACAACTTGAACTACACCTATTATTATTATTACCGGTATATATATATATTATTCATGTTACTCTTTCTTATTCTTCTTCTGTCTGTCAGTCTGAATAACTTCACTAATTATATCTATTATTATTACCTCTTTTCTCTTGACGACAATACCGGAGGACTAACTGATGAAGGGATCAACTGCATTCACAGTTGTAACAGTCTTGACACACCTCATACTACAAACGACATATAATTAATCCCTGCACTACTCCTTTTGGAGTCAACCAAAGCTACGACAGTCAAGTGGCGGGAGGAGCTACGCAGAAGTTTACCAAAGATCAGGACCTAATACCTCACAATCAAGAGGCGAGCATAAAGAAATCAAATTGGTTTTTACTAGGTCGTAAAAACTACCTTGGATATCGGATGTGCCTATAGGAATACTGTAATTACATGAAATGTTACATCTGGTTATTTTAAGTGTTATATTAACGTTTCTGCACAGCTGGAATATTTACTCTTGCTTTTGCTATAATGTGTGCAAGAATACCTCACGATACTTACTTTCTTCACCCTCTTTGAATATCAGAAGTGCTTCAGATTGTGACTCACCACCTCAAATCTCGGATCTTTCTGCACCATCATCAGAATCACTCATTTTCAAAATCGACTCTATTAAGGCAAGATTAAATCCATACAGCATATGGAGACCTTTGGAAAACTCGTTTGGAGTCATTGGAGATCCTACAAGCAGTATTCATGCACTGTCTAATAAATTTGCATCCGCAGCGGTTTATCCATAATTGCATACTATGAGGCTTCTTTGCACTTTCTCAGGCTGGCTGTTTAGGATTTATTCACTCTCAGCTGTGCTTATTTATCAGTGAGACCACTAGCAGCTACCCAAGTGTTCAATTTTTTCCTGTGTCTTTCGATTGGAAATTGAATATCGACCCTGAAAATATATTAAACGTGTAACCTTGGCCAAAGTTTAATGTTTCATTTTGGTTAGTAGTTCACTGAGTTATTTCCATATTTTTGTGAATTATAAGATCCATCATAACTAGGCTAATATGACGTTAATATAAGTAAGTTCTTATAGCGTACATTTGAACTTACGAAAATTTTTGCAATCCATTTTTTGCGTCGTTTTGGAAAGTATAAATATTATTGAATTTAGTTATGGCTATAACTGAATTTCAGCCTTATATGCACTCCTTCTGCCCAGAGTTTTGCCGGCTGGACTATTTGCGAGTATATACACTAAAGATATGACTAGCATGTCATAAATATTAGTATATATACATACATCTAAATGGTTTTAATAAGTACTGAAAGTCTATAAGGTCAGGTTTTCTATTATTCATGATGCTGGTTAGTTACTTTTTGGGAGAAATTCACTTATTTCTGAGTGGCGAGTAGTAGGTTATTTAAGTAACACAAATATAATGTGTATGTAGTCGAATTCGTAGAAAAATGAGGAACATTAATATCCGTTGATAACATGGAGAAGTGACCGAACCCATATCGTTTAGTAATTCAGACCCCAGCTAGTAAAGTCTTCGAGACCACGTCTGTGAGCTTGTCGCACTAGTGGAACAAAGCCCAGACATTTGGGCAACTTTTGCACTGCATCCTACTTTCGCCCCAAAGTTTCTTAAGTGAGTTCGAGGCCAATGCTAGCTGGGAATTTCTCGTTCCGTATATATGCGTGGGTAGGTGATTAGTCTATGTCTTCCTTATTATTATTTATTATTATTTTATAGTAGTCCTGATTTAGCTTAGTGCTTTTCACTAAAATGTTTCAATCAACGTGGAATTAAATAAATAAATCTTATGACGGCTATTATAGTGTTAGAGTCATAGTGATACTGTTATTTGTAGGCTAGTGAAAATCAAATTTTACAATTGTAAGAAACTGTGGAATATGATCACAATAATATCCCCATATTCGAATAACTATAATCAACCTATGCACATTCCATCGTAGGTTAATACTTGGATTAGTGGCTTGAAGTAACAAGTTTCCCTATAAATATCTGACTTCAAATCAGAAAACACATTGGTGTATGTGTGTAAGAAACATTTTCTCCGAATAATCTGCACATTCGATAGTAAATTAACTGAAGTAAAGGTAATTAGTAATCTACTATCTGTGTCGAACAACGTTGTGGTACTAATCGCAATTCAGTACAGTAAACTAGTCGACTGGCTTCAGCATAGAACCTTTCATAGAAGTGCAGACGTTCAACTTGCCACCCTCCATTTAGCATGCAAAGGAAGACAAAATAAAGGAAAGAGAGCTTCAAAGGAAAGACACTGGACAGATATATGAGGGAGAAAGAGTAGCAACTCGGAAAACCGATAGAGTTTAATAAATTACAGCTGAACAGCATCAACATTAATTAAACTGAATGTCAGAATAATTAGGAAAGGTAATGGTAAAAATTCATGAGTTTATAGTCTCTACTGAGGGCCAGGGCAGTAGTAGGGGCTGGACTTGTTCTTAACGATAGATTAGTTAATATGGGAGATCATGAGGAGTAAATGCATCTGCACCACTGGAAACGATTTGGGGCCATATCACCAATTGTCTCCAGCCTTCACTGGTCCTTATTATCCCGAGGACACCAACTACGTAGTTTTCATCTCCTTACATGGTTCAAACCAACTGTCAAAGATTTCGTGGACTGATTTCAAGTTTTAGATTGACCACCACTAGTCCAACTTGGTCCTCTGTTGGCTAACACTGACCTTCGAGGGAGGCGATGGCCAGGGATCCGTAACACATATCCTAGCCATCTCAATCAATTCAACTTCTTACCTCAACGACTGACTTTCGCTCCTTGTCCAACACTCGACGCCTAATCTCAATATTATTCAACCTATTATACCACCCAACACGGGAGATAGAACGCAGGCATCTATGATCAAACACAACTAGCCAGGCTTTTCATGTCTTCCACTATCAATGGCCAGGTCTCACAGCCATAAAGGAGGAAAAACAAACTGGTGAGCAGTACACACGTCCTTTGATCGATAGCTAGATGGTCGGATATAGATCTTTTGAAAGTGCTCCGAATGTGGAATCTGTGTATGTATTAAAACAAGTGTGTTCGCATTCTGATAGGCTAGCAAGTTCTCGTATATTGTCTGAATTGGGTAAAAAAAGCATGGTCACCTAGAGTTTCGTAATTAATATCCTATTTTGTGTGCATAGGTTCACCTTTTCACTTTACCTAAGTTATATGTAAAAGCTGTAATAGTTCGCTACAACATTCACTATGGATTTAATTTCAGTTTGTTTGTCTTGCATAACTGACAACTGTGGTAAATGATTTTTGGCTAGGCCTGCAACACTCAATATGATAGTCTTTTTTACACAGATGTTTTGTTATTCTCCTGTATTTTTAGATTGTGCTAACGCAAAGATCTTGTAAGACCTATTCGCTGTTATATCCATTATGCCAATTTGATTCCCAACAAAGTTGTGGTACATTCAATAAAAATGTCAATAACAAATAACTTGGTCAAATTTCGAAATCAGGATTATTGTGTTTTAAAAAAAGAGCAGCTAAATAGAGGAGTGAAGTTTGTTGATGATGAATTCCCTGTAGAAGCAATGAATCTACAAGGTCTTAATACACCTGCTGGTGCATTAAGCTTCTTGAGACCTTCTGAAATTGTCTCAACTCCCTGTTTCAGTAGAAATGAATCTTACTTTAGTCTCAGGCGAGGCTTCATCAAGAATTTCAATATTCTTCTTGCATTTACTGGTTTGAAATATAATCAAAAGCACTGGTCCAAAGTAAGTTTATAATGAGAATGTGAGAGCTAATAATAATAGGTACTTGTAGATTTAAAATCTCAGGAATGGGATGTTGATCATGTGAATGAACATCCTGGGATTTTTCGCTTTCGATTCTGGCAAGAAGGCACGTCATTCGAAGTAATAATCGATGATTTACTGCCTTGCTACGAAGGAAAGTGTATATGCTTGTCGTCTTCTAGCGCTGCAGAATTCTGGCCAGCCCTTTTAGAAAAAGCTTATGCCAAGTGAGTTAAGAAAAGGTTTGCATTGGTTCTAAAAACTGCCATCCATTTTTGTAGTCCCACGAGTATGAAAGTTGACAATTCTGTGCCAATAGAAATCTTCTGTGTTCATAACATTCTCTTTACCGATTTTTAACAAATATCTTCCCCTCTAGAGTTTTTCTCACTGACTAAATCCTACTAGGTAAAATTTTAGTAGAAATAGTAACTTGTCAGTGAGGCTATGTGAAATTCGCGAATATCTCCCAAAATGCTGCTTATCATCGTATGATGTGCTACTTTTTGTTATGCCCACTTCATTCAGCAATACACGTTCGTCTTTGAAAGTCAAATTGTTTTTAAGCATTTCGCATGTAAATCTGACTAATTGCGTTTTATTTTTAGTTTTTCTGGCGTAGCATCTTCAAGAAACAGGATTTTTTTAGCTAACATAACTTCGGTAGGTCATTATGATAGCCATACCTCTCCGTCTTACCTTGCGGTCGGGATGTCTAGTTAAGTACTGCGTGCTGGTACTGCTTCTTTGAAACAAGCAGGCTCACGTCTGCTTGTTGAGAAGAATAAGGATAAAGCTTCCATGTAGTCGTTTAAGTTGGTGGTGTATGAAGAAACATACCATACAGAAAAGCATAGTACATTTATCTCAGTTGATTTATGCTTACCTTTTTTGACTGACTGATGCTTTCTACATAATATTGGACACCAAGAAGTAATTTGGAAACCTGCTTCAACGCTACAGAGTGCCCTATATGACAATGCCACATGGCAAGTGATCCACAATGGAGTACCCAGTAAAACCTTTGAAGTGAATGAATACAGAAGTAAGGCCAGGCTACCTACTATCCCGGGTGATATTCCTAACTGTGGAGGACTGGATTATGCGTCAGACTGGGGCGAGCAAGAAGACAAGAATACATTAGACTGATAAAAAAGCTCTAGATTTGAACTTCGTGGATGATTCATGTGATTCAAGTGAAAACCAACAGGTTAGCGAGGTAGGTAGGCAGTGAAGACGTGACTTTAAGTAAACAAAGAGAAAACGGAGGTAATGAGGACAACTAACCAATAACAACAAGCACCAATCACTACCGACGGGAGCCATTTGAAAAAGGTTACTTCCTTCACTTACCTAGTCATCATCGTTTCAATTACAGGCGTCAACACGGATCAAGTAACAGAATTTATGGGTTCGGCAACAAGCCAGGATGGCAACGGTGACTGGACCTTTTTCTTTTGCACACAGAGCTCCGGTTGATTTAAGCAAGTTGCGTGGCCTCTGCTGTTTACAGTGTTTGGTATCTAGAGATCTTTGGTAATTTATTCGATACCCAATGGATGATAGAGAAGGACTCTTCAATCAGTGCTGGGTTTGTGGTCTGTTTGTACGAGGTGATCTAATATAGAACTGCTGATGGTTTTAACAATACCTGTATTTTTCCACACTGGTAGGCGTCCCCAAGCATAAAAAATTAATTTCCTAGATCAACGGCCAATATAACTGGTTGCACAGGAGCAGCCAATTTGGTTAGACTTTTTTACTGAAATAGACTTTTCCAAGCCTTGGACTGAGTTAGCAGTCCTTGATTTAGATGTAGGCTTAGGGATTTCATTTTTATGCTTTATCTCCTGAGTTAGAGTCTCACTCTTCTTAATTTCTTCTGAACAAAGAGACGGTTCATGATCTTTAATAATAATAATAATAATTTGCTTTATTCCATAAACAGTACTTGTGATACAGAATGGAATTCTCAGCATTTTTACTACAGTATTGCATCCAGTTAGTACATTATCGATAAATAGAACTCCACATAGATTAAGGAAATCTCAGTTCATTATGACAACAACATATTGGCATGTCGGTAGTAAAGCCAAAATTTGAACAGTGTTTGAAGGTGTTAGAAAAGTAGGTGCTATCATATTTACTGGTGTAAGCGGAAGAAAGAAACAAAGCAGCACATAACGGGAAAAAAAGAGAAAAGGAAAAGAAAGAAAATGTTGTACCTATAAATGATATGAGTTGGAAAGACGAGATCCAGTTGTTCTACTGACTATTTAATGAATTATAGGTGTCACGCCTAATGCTTTCTTTATCCCACAGAACACGAGCTATGTAGGGTATGGTTGAGTTTTTGTACTTGCTGGTGCGAGCATATAGTTTTCTATATAGGCTTCTGGTTTTGCCTGATGAGATGCAAGGGGAGAGTTGTGAGTGAAGAGGGTGGTGTGTTAGATAAAATGGATTTAGCCCATTTTTCACATGAGTCCATGTGCCTGTCAACCAGAATATTAACAAGCTGGTTAAGTGGCACATTGCTTACCCTTCTGACAACCTTTAACATCCTGCGTAATATGTTATAGTCTTTCTTCAGTAGCCCGGGAAAAACTAAGGGGGGACAATAGAGAATAATAGGCAGAATGCGAGAGTTAACGTATTGTAGGAGTAAGGGTTGGGTTATACCAGAATTTTTTAACTTCTTGATGTAGAAGGTAAGAAGGAATATTTTCTTAGAAATCGCCAAGAAATGAGACGACCAGGAAAGATCAGCAGATAGAATGACGCCTAGGTATTTAATTTCCTACTTGGTTTCTTTTACATTAAGTGTGTTACCCAGTGTATTGCACAATCTTGTACAGGGTTTTCAGTTGCAGAATTGTTTGTCCGTAAAGGCTCATTCACTCTGATGTACAAATAAACGGATCGGTCCTTCGTCTTTAATATCCATACATAAGTTTTGCTTGAATATTTTTAAACTATGAATTAAAATTTCATATTATTTCCGCTCTCTCCTCTCTTTTCTTAATATACCTGCTTTTAGACTGTTAGGTGGATATGATAAGTTGGAACATATTCGATTGGAGGAGATTATGATGGATTTGACTGGTGGTGTAACAGAGTCGATCGGTCTACATAATCTCTCTTCTGCTCCAGCCATGAAACAAGTTCTATTCTTTGAACGAATGGAACAAGATCTAATGGATGATTGTATAATAATATTTTGTACAAATGTAAGTTTCTGGTGTTGTTGTTGTTGTTGTTACTGTTAAGCAATCATTTAAACGAAGGCTTCTAGTAGTTGATGACTGTTGTCTTCCTCGTATAGTTCAGGCTTAGTGGAAGTTAGACATGATGCTTTAGATAAAACAGTCTAGTAAAATGTGAACCTCAATCATTAAAGTACAACTGGATCAACTTCTGAAGACTGAATCACTGTATGTTATATCAGAAGAAGCAGCAAAGGCAGGTCTTCAAGTGAACATGGTGAAGACGGGGGTGATGAAGGTAACCAACCAACAACAACAATACAACAACAAAACGCACCAATCACTGTCAAAGGGGAGAGATTTGAACGACATCACCTCCTTCACTAATCTAGGCAGCATCGTTTCAATTAGAGGCCGTACAGCTGAGGATATCAAAGCCAGCCAGAATCGGAAAGTTAAGGCAGACCTTTATCACTCTGAAATCAGTCTGGAAATCTTCTGAACTCAGCATAAAGAATGAAATTCGGATTTTCAACGCTAATGTCAAGTTAGTCGGTTGTTCTATATGGATCAGAAACTTGACATGTGAGTCACTTAAAGTATTTCCAATAGGCTACTTCAGACTTCTATCAGCACCTGCCTTCATTGACTCCATACTGTAGATCAGACGGCCGGCCAGAAAGAATTAGCAACAAGCAATTCTGTCTGCCAACAAACCAATCAAGAAGCTATTGCACAATAAATATTCTGGAGAAAATTGAGATGGATCGGATACACTCTGAGGGGACCGTTGAATGACATCGAGTGGGTTATAGCTATAGCTCGAGTGGGACAAGAAAGGTAAACGACGAGTTCAGTAAGGGTCCGAGGGTGAAATGGAGGAGGTCTTATGATGAGGAGGTCAGAGCCTATGGTCAATCAAGGACCCAGATAAATAGGACTACGGAAAACAAGGTGAAATGAAGATGTGTTGTTAAAGCCCCCCTGTGTTCCCCTCGGAACCCAAGGAAATGATAATAATGCAACTAGTCAAACATAATGAATAAAAGTAAAAATGAATTTCTACATAGTATATTTGAAGATTATAAAATTATATCCGTATAGGTAATCGCATATAAGCTATTTTCCCCCCCTTCAGATGTAACCTGGCACCATACTCAGCGTATTATTATTATTCTATTTGTGTACGTTTTATTGTCGTTTGCTTTCCAGCGGTGTCATAATTTTAATTCGCTGCAATCATCTTCACGGTTGTGCATTGTTCCACTTTTTCTATGGGATTATAGTTTGAAGATGGCATAAAATTTGAAATTTATCAACGATAATACAGGAAAAACTGTACAGCATAATAAGCCGGGGAAAAATATTCTTTTCTACGCATAACAAATTGGCTTGTCAGTTCAGTGTAAACTTCAACAATTTCAAATAATAGTGTCATAACTCTAATTCGGTGCAGTTGTTTTCAAGGCTGTACATTGTTGCACTTTTGTTTTGTACAGAATAAGATGGTACCATTAGTTATTTTGTTGGCTTCCCATCAGCTGCCTACAGCCTAAAGAAATTATTAAGTTTATGTACAGAACAATTTTAACATACTTGCAATGTTGCATAATGTAAGTTATTGAAAGTGCTCAGAAATTACACCTATATACCTCATACACAGAAGGTTCAAGTTTAAACAAAAAATAGATGCTCGGTAACAATAGGAAAGGAGTTGCGGAATAAAGACAAGAGGTGAGTAAGATCATGAGTAATTAATACGTTGAGTAACAACATGGTGAGTTCGAGAAGAATCATAGAAACAAGAGACAAGCAAAGTTACGTTATGGCAAAGAGAAAGAGGTTAAAGGCAGTGCTGCTGCTGGATTCAACATAGAACTTGGCACCGAAGTGCAGCAGTTCGAGTTGCCATCTTCCAAATAGCACACAAACGTAGACAAGAAAATGAGTGAAGAGAATCAATAGAGTTTTGACAAGTAGAAGAGTGGAACAGAATGAGTAATGGTAGAAAGGAATATGAAAGATTACAGAGACTAAATACATCTGCGTAAGCCATTGACAACGATTTTGAGCCATGTCACCTATTGTCTCCAGCCATTGTTTCTTAGAGTCCCGAGGGCGGGCCCCAACCCGGAAGTCTGCATCTCCCTATCTGACTCAGTTTAACTGTCAAGGATTTCATGGACTGATGCCATGTTTTTGTTTGGCCACCACTTACTCTTTTCCAACCAACCTGCACCTATATCAGCTAGTAATGCCCGTCGGGGGAGACGATGGTTAGGAATGCGCAGCACGTGGCCTAACCATCTCAATCTATGTAACTTTATAGCCTCTTCGAGTGATTTTCCCTCTTTGCCCAACACTCTACGCCTAACGTCAACATTACTTATTATACCACCTAACGCGAGAAAGAGATCGTAAACATCTGTGGTCAAAAACAGACAATCTCTTCATGTCAAAGGCAGTGATTACTCAGTCAAATGAAAGAGATTGAAAGTTAAGACATCCAGTTACCAGGGCAAGGAAAGATTGATAATAATTTCGTGGTAATCTTCTGGCCATATGCATATTGTTCCAATTCCCAAAAGGTGAAATTTTTAACATAACTAATCTTTAAAAAAATCTATTTGATTTGTATTCTTCCCACAGGCCAATGAACAGCATGTTGACTCGGTTGATGAGTCGTTGCCTCAAATTTTCGGTGCTCCTAATCCTCATGATTATATACCTGACAAAGAGTCTGGACTCTGTTTAAATTATGGTTATTTATTGACAAGAGTTTGTGCAGTTCCAAAGGATCTTAGTGTTTTTGGCGCTTTCAAGGATATATTTCGACGTGCTGGTGATTGTCCTATACAAGCTCGTTTAATGCGTCTACGTTGTCCTTTGACTGTGGTTGATGGTGGCTGTGGTCAAGGTGAATGGAAAGGACCCTACAGTTCAGCTTCCAGTGTATGTTATTATTATTATTCAATAATTCTGGTGTTGGTATTTATGATATTTGTAAGAGTTGATAATTTGTCATAGAGTTTCACTTTATTTGTGTTATTTTATTAGCTAATGTTTTTAATTATTAATCCCTTGAGTTCCGAGTGGAACATAGGGTTTCAGCAACACATCTCGGCTTTTTTCTTGTTCTTTGCACTCCCCTTTAGCTGACTCCACAACTACCCATAGGCTCTCATCTCCTCCCCAGACGATCTCTTCCATGTCACCCTCGGACGTCCACCTCGTCGTTCACTTTTCATTCGGGTTCCAGTCGAGCAATGGTCTAGTGCGCAATGTCACTCAACACTCTCCTCAGCGTGCATGTGTGAACTGTTTTTGGTGACTTGTTTTCTCCTTAAAAATTAGTCATTTACTATAATATAATAATAATATCGTAACAATCGATCAAAAGTTCAAATGTTACACTGCCTGACAATGTGTATGAGCACTCTGGTAGTATTGTGCGCATCCTTATGGATATTCCCTTCATATTGTAACAACAGAAGGCAAGACATAGAAGCCAAAGTATATTTTCCATTAATCAAACCGCTGTTTATATATCTACAGTTTATATTCGTTAACCAATCACTGAGCGTGTGATTTCGGTTTACATCAAACGACATGAAATAGAATGTTCAAATATACTGCAGTATTCTGTTGCCAATGCAGTATTAAACTGTGGAAATAACATTTCGACTCTAACGTCAAATAGAATATTCAAATAGATATATCGTGTTCTGTTGTTAATGCCGAATTGAACTGTGGGAACATGTGAGAATAACATTCCGTTGGCACCCATTGTCCATATCACACCACCACAATATAATTCTTAATCAATAAGCATAAAACTGTTTGTTGTTGTTGTTTTTTCGGTATTGGTGGTACATTATTGGTCTTATTGGGCTCGATTAAGATATAAATGATTGCAAAACAAACTTACCACGCTTTCGCCTTAGTATACTTGTATAGGTAAAACGTAGGCGGTCAGTTATGAATTACATTCCCTAAAGTAGTTTATTTTATATTATGTGCCTAGAGTAATTACGTAGTCACGTGAAATGTTATGTTTGGTTGTTTCAAAGGTGTTATATCAACTTTTTTTTACACAGTTGGAATATCCGCTGTAGAGTTTTTGTTATATAGTATGCGCGAAAATACCTTGCGCGAGCTTTCATCCTGACCTGGGTTTATTATTTTCTTAAATTGAATTGTCAAGATGAAGCTAAATGGTGGAAGTAATTGCTAAAGTGAATCAAGTGGATTGCGTAACGCATTATTTTAGAAAAAAAATAAGGAGTAATTAAGAAATAAGCCAATGATTTCCCTGATTGCAGTAGACTGGATAATGCGACAAACAGCGGGCAATGAGGAAACAGGCATAAAATGGACTCACACAAAAAACTTGGAGGATCTGGACTTCGCCGATGATATATGTCTGATTTCCCACAAACTGGAAGATATGCAAGCGAAAAGCAACAAGTTGGCGATAGAAGAAGCATCCAGAGAAGATAGGACTTCAGGTGAACATAGAGAAAACAGAGGTGATGAAGATTCCTGGACAAGAACAACAACAACAACTGACAACAATCAGCATAAATGGGAGGAACCTGAAAGAAACGGCCTCTTTTACCTACCTGGAAAGCATCGTTTCAACTACAGGCGGAACTGACGGGGATATCAAAGCAAGAATAGGAAAAGCAAGACAAGCTTTCACTACTCTCAAGTCTGTGTGGAGGTCAACAGCACTCAGCATCAAAAATAAGATCTGGATTTTCAACTCCAATGTGAAGTCAGTGCTACTTAACATACGGATCAGAGACTTGCACTGCGCGTCATAAAGAGCATCTCAAACAAACTACAGACCTTCATTAACAGTTGTCTTCGCTCAATACTCAAGATCAGATGGCCGGAAAGGATCAGCAACAGGGATCTCTGGGAGCGAACCAACCCAGCAGGAACCGATTGTGAAACAAATAGGCAGGAAGAAATGGAGATGGATTGGCTGGCCATACTCTGAGGGAACAAACCATCAAGTGACATCACTAGACAAGCCATTGCTCGAGTGGAACCCGAAAGGGAAGTGGCGAGTTGGTCGTCAGTGCAAGGGTGACTTGGAGTAGGTCATGTGAAGAGGAGATGAAAACGTGTGGACAGACTTGGAGCCAGGTGAAGACTCTAGCAGAGAACCGAACTCAATGGAGACGCACGGCTGAAGCCCTATGTTCCTCTAGGAATTAAAGGAAACAATAATTATAAGAAGAAATAAGCGAATGTCAAAATTAATTATTCAGTAAGCGATTAAAGATGAAGTATTTTCAAGATTTAGTTATTTTATTTTTTTTAATTTTTTATTTACAGCTTGATTCCACACCGTATTTTCAGTACAAGTGTGGAATTTTCAGCATGGATATCGGTAGCCAAATTCAGGCCGACCATAGATATCGGGTGTGCGCCGGCAGGGGATCGAACCCCGGACCATGTGCATGGTCGGCGGGAGTCCTAACCACTGTGCCACCGACGCAGTAGTTAGTAGGGATTTGATTTACTTCAATTTTGACCACGGATTGATATCAGTTAGAGAACCATTGAAAGCCCGCAGGGAGTACTGGACAGCTGTTTTGTCATAGTTTGTGACTCATTGACAGTACTCACCCACTAGGATTCGAACCTAAAATCTCCCGGTCACAAGGAAAGCTCGTAGACGATTCAGCCACTGGGACCCGACTCAATGACAATGCATTCGTCTAACGACGGTCAAGGTAATGAACAGACTGGTCTGGCTTCTTCAGATGGACTCCGATGACTTCATCTGTATTCAGAAGACGAACTCGTAAAGCAAAATTAATATTTTTTGTATTGCGATAAATAACTTCACATACTATATTAACATAAAAGTTATGCTCACTATCCATAATGTGTGCTGAAACACAGGTACGCATAGATTTCGTTTGTGTCCCTTGCTTAACCATGGATGTTGATGTTCGGAAACACGATGATAAACCTGCCTAATGTAATTAGTTCCACAGAAGCAGTCAAACTGGTAGATAAACTTATAAAAGGCGAAATTACATAGTTTATCCCTATTTCTTAAACGTAAAATTGGAATGCTTGTGAGGAAATAGCGTACCTCTGCTTCATTAAATGCTCTTTTCAGTGCGTTCTGCAGGCGCTGTGTTACTATTTCGGTCATGTTATCCCCAGGAAACTGAAGTTTTATGGGTGGGGATTTTTTTCCTATATATTGAAAACAGACTTAGTCAGAATCAAATAAATAAAACTGTGACTGCCTGGAGAGTAGAAGCTACGTGTTTTCGAGAGAGATAGAGAGAGGTCGATAAGTACCGAGCTGTGGGAGTAATTATCTGTTTTATGTTATGTTGACCAGCATGTTTTGTAAGCACCCACGACTCCACCGGGGATCGAATACCGGACTTTTAGGTTACGACATCAAGTTCATTGATCATTCAGTCACTTGTACTGGGATTCAGTGACCTGTGAATTGTAACTTTGTCAATTCGTGATACGGCGTCACCCTCTACCAGTGCCTTCGATGAACACCCACTTCATCGTGACTTAGTGCGTTAAAGTGACTGAATGGCCAATGAACCTGAAGGTCTTGGGTTCGATCTCGGCTGCTCACTGCCAAACAGTCCCAAAATAGAAAAAAATGGCTCTCCAGTACTCCCTCTGAAAGATGTTGGTTCGTGACGAAATCTAACAATTAGAATTACTTTTTAGTTGTTTGTATACCTTTTTAGAGAGATATAATGTATTTTTAGTTCAGATATAAGATTTCTTTATGTGTACATTGAGTCTAGTTCAAGTCATTGAATATATATTTATTTGTATGTATAGTTACCCTGAACGGTTTTTAGCTGTTGACCACTTTGCTTCTGTAACAGGAGAGTGTACGTTTAACTGGATTAGTTTGCGGGTAGCCTTTAACATCGAATCAAAACTATGCAAAGAACCCTTATCAAAGAATCTCTCAAAAGTCCTTATTGACAACTCCATTCTTGATCATATTTACAACTGTCAGATCGCATGTTTGTGTACAATGACCACTTAGGCGAATGAATTAGGATGTTGTTATATAATTTTGACTACAAACGTGTGAGTCACGTGCCCAAGGTCATTCCATGTTTTCCAATCTAATACTGTGGCTTATATCAGATCATATACTACAGACATTTGGCTTATGGTCGGTCTCTAGTTCACAAACCTGAACACTATTAATAAATCATACTAAACGAACCCCTGTGGGTGCGTACTGATGAAGAGTCCCAAACTAGGACGAAACAGCTGTCCAGTACTCCCAGGTTTTCCAATGCTTCTCTAACTAATGTCAGCTCATGATGAAAATTCTGTAACCAATCAAATCCCTACAAACCAACACTTGATAAACGATAGTTTTTTCTTTTTTTTTCTATAGTTGGTTTGTAAAGAGTAGTTTTGTTTTTACGAGTTGATCACGGATTGATATCAGAGTGCTTACTGCCGATGATTCCCAAACTAGGATGAAACGGTTGTCCAGTACTCTCTGCTGGTTTTCAATGGTTCTCTAACTGATATCAATCCGTGATCAACTCGTAAAAACAAAACTAATCCTTACAAACCAACTCTTGAAAATTAATCTGATGCTCGCTAATGACTTGCTACAGGACGGAGTTTTCTGGAGTTCTAGTGAGAAGTCGTGACCAGTAAGGTCCATCCAGTCAGGAAGTGAGGATGGATTTCCACCGATGGCATTGGTTGGTGGTCGTGCTAAATCACGAATTGGTGGAAGTTAGAATTCATGGGCTAGCCATTGAATCGGGTCCCAGTGGCTGAATGGTATACGAGCTTGCCTTGTAACCGGAAGGTTTGAACCCCCTGTGGTGGGTGCGTACTGTCGATGATTCCCAAACTAGGAGAGTTTTTCTATTCATTATTCACAATGATTTTAAGATTTTTTATTTTGGATTACAATCCTAGCCAATAATTGATGTGGTGACATGAAAAGTATTCAAAGGGTGATTGTTAATATATATTGAGACTACTGGAGGAATTGGTTTATGTCTTCCGCGTAGTTGTAAAAGTCTAGGCGAAAAAGCACATAGAATGGTAGGTATTTTCTGTAGTAGAACTATAATTAACAGGTATAAGAATCACCTCAAAACAACAGACTATTCAGAACACCGAAGTAATTTTGAATAATTTTAATACTTTTATGATGTATCAATCACACAAAACCTGATTGATAGCTGCTACCTTGATGTGGTGGTCAGGCTTGTATATCGCAATGAATCCAACAAGCTGGACTGGCTAGAATTAATGTTCCTGCAGATCCTACCATACCACAAAGGGTTTTCGGATGGTGATTAGACTAAAAGCAGTTACTGTCATAGTGTAATCTGTGTGCGAAGTCGTACTTCTGGGGAATAAGGATTTAATAGCAGTCAGGTGTTTCCCTTAGATGACCAGCGTGCCACGTATACTGCCTCTACGCCTTAAACGCGGGAGTGGCTAGAAAAAGTTGACCCCGGAAATTGTACATCCTGGCTTACCTTGTCTACATAGCCGGCGGTGAAATCTTAATATGGATGCAGTTCAAATAGGCCGTGTGTGACCGGCCTCAAGCAGTTGTCCCATAGGCTCTGCGGTCATGCCACACTAATTCTGTTTCAGGTAATAATGATAACCTTTTGTGAATGAGAAGACTTCGTATCCTTATGACGAAGTCCTGCTGGGAGAAATGAACTATTTAACTACTATCTGCAACTCTTTGGAGACCGTTGAGTGAAATCGTACTCCATGCCATCGCTCGAGTGGAACCCGAGTGGGAAATGACAATTTGGGTTTGGGTCCGAGGGTGAAATATGGAGAAGATCGTGTGTGGAGGAGGAGATGAAAGCTTATGGATACTCGTGGAGACGGCTGAAGAGGACTACAGAGAACAGGACAAAATGGAGATGTATTGTCGAAGCTCTGTGTTCCACTTTTAGAATCCAAGGGAATAACAATCATAATAAATACGGTAGTTTGGTCAACAGTTGATTATGTCTAAAGCAGATATAACAAAATACTTCATCCACACCTAATCTTATTAAATGTTGTTCTACTTTCCAAACAAATTTGTCGAAATTGTTAGGAAGAGGCAAAACACATGCAATTATCAGGTCATCAGTCAAGTTATTATCGCGTTATTAACAAGTCGTTGACATGCAATTGTTCTTGTTTCTGATTGGACGCTTGCACAATTCAAACTCTCAACCGGATTGGTTGATTTCCAGTCTAACTTATTTTCTGTATAAATACAGCCACTTTTGTCATAATAAATGAACCTGGTTTTACCGTTGATTCTCTTCGTGTTCTGCTTTACCAGATAAGTGGGCACTGGTCCGTAGTTAAGCAGTGACCTGGTGACAAAGTATCTAGCATCATAACAGAAATGTTCTATTATTCTTGTGTTTTTCGGTGGTTTAGTAGTTCAAAGCCGTTATTGATGTGATGAAACTCATACTTCTTCATTATTCTAAACTGATAATTATTTCCGAATAACTTTAATATCAGGATTGTTTTTTTTTCTACCATATTTTCAACCTTTTCAGGAATGGGAGGAAATAAGCTTAGAAGCACGTAAACGCTTAGGATTAACTTTTGACTCAGAAACAGAATTTTGGATGCCACTTGAATCTGTCCTAGAGCATATGACTGGTGTATTAACATGTCGTTTCCCAGACACTAGTTTAGTCAGTCTAACTGGACGTCAAACTTGGCGTTTATATGAACATCATGGAGCTTGGTATGGTCATCAAACTGGTGGAAGTTTACAATTTAGAAAAACATTTTTAAATAATCCTCAAGTAAGTTTATACAGTGTGAAATAATTACTTTTTAATACTTTTCATTTGTCATAATCTACCCTCATGAAGATGCTGTTTAAAAGACTAGGATTAAGGTTAACGGGGAAAACTAAGACTGACTAGACTTGTACAAGTTACTGTACGGAGTGCTTGAAGCGTTTGATTATGTTAGAGAAGTTTATGCCTCCGGCTTGTGTGATGATTCATTATACAACCAAAATATTCAATTGTGAATTCTTGGTGGTGGTGCTTACATGTATTATTCATACCCCATATGCTCAAGTTAATTACTTTGTGATTATTCACCAATTCTTGATCTATGCGTTCAAATACTCACATACAATATGATAACTTTAGCTGCTAAACAGTTCCATTTTATTCAAGTCTAATACTGTAATGCTAAACTGATTATTCTTCATAGTTGGTTTGTAAGGATTAGTTTTGTTTTTACGAGTTGATCACGGATTGATATCAGTTAGAGAACCATTGAAAACCAGCAGAGAGTACTGGAGAGCCGTTTCATCCTAGTTTGGGAATCATCGCCAGTACGCACCAACCACTGGGGTTCGAACCCAGGACCTTCCCGTTACAAGGCAAGCTCGTATACCATTCAGAATCTGTACTTCCTATCTGCTTTCTTCACTAAAAGAAATGCGAAATTATACGAACTGTCAGCTTCTTCAGTGATATCATCCTGTAACATCTCCTTCACTTGTCGCTCGACTTCGCCTTCTAAACGACATGAGACGCTGCGTTGTGTGAATGGTGCCATTTTGCAACCGCTCAGTGGGATTTCGTGTGTATCACCTTATCACAATAACCGTAGGGATCCCCATCTCCAGTGAACAGATGATCGTATTCTTCAACTAACACTGTCATATTCTGTGCTTTCGACGCCTTAACCCCTGCTATCTCGCTTGTCTCATATATGCTGATAGTCCGTACTTCGTAATCACTATCCTCTCCTTCGTGTTAATTACCGCGCCAACCTCTCCCAGGAAATCAGCACCAAGTATTGTTCGCCATAACTGAGGCACAACAATGAACGGGAACGTTACTTCGCGATCCCCAATAAAACACCACAGTTGGACATACCCGTGATGTTTAAAATGTGTCCACCTACCGTTTGAACTATCAATGAACATAGTCTGACGCTCTGACATAGATTCCTATATATTAGTGAGACTGCCGCCCCTGTATCTATTAACCATACTGCTTCTCGGCCATTCACTGGCAGTTTAGAATACATTGCTCCCCTCTCAATAGCCCCAATACTTCTAGTCTGATCGGAGAGAAAGAACACGTATTACACTGTCTGAAATTTTTCCTTCTCCTCCTTTCTGGGTAGTGCCTCCTCCATTGTCCTTTGCGACATTCAAAGCATCGGGTCTCTCACGGCACTCCTTCATAGTGCCACTACTTCACGCTGCAAATCTTCAACTTTCTGTTCCCATTCGTTCAATTTCGGTGGCTGTATTGCTGTTACCGTTGTGCTCAAAGGCTCTCTGGTCACTGATGCCCATAAATTTCTGCAGAGTTAACCAGTTGAACTAGAAAAGCTTGAAAAATCATCAGCCACAGGTCTACACGCTATAGAATCAGGCCACAAAATTGATTTAGACAATATCGAAATAATTCAGAAAAATTTCAGAAATCGCAAAGAACGTCTAATATCAGAAGCACTTCATATGATCAAATGGAATCCAAATTGTCTGAATAGGAATGATGGACTAAAACAGAATTTGACCTGGTTACAACACCCCCCTCCCCCATGAAATGACTAAATCAACGCGGATGTGATAAGCAATTTTATTATGTAGACACGTGCTGCTTTTATAATCTTATGCAGTTATCAAATCCAACAATCTACACCTGGTTTTGTTAACTTTACCAATTGGCCAACGCAGAAATGACCCCATACTGAGGAACGATGATTAAGTTGTTATATATGAGCTGAGATTGTGTAAATTCTGGTTTAATAATACTTTGATAAAGCTATTAGCATTAAATAGCGAAACGTTTTGTTTTTCATTCATTGAGAAATACAAAAAACCTTTATTTTAATGATTAAACAGTTGTAGTTGCTGAGAAATTTGGTCATGGACACTCGATGAACTGGGACGTCAGTAGCTGCAACTGCGACCCTTCATCCATTGTGGAGAGTGCGCAACGTATTAGATTCGTCAGCCTAGCCGCCAACACTTGTGGATCTCCGTCCTGTTCCCTTGACTATCTTTTATAGGTTCCACCTGCGTCGGTCTCTTCCCGGATAGAGACCTGGTTATGAGATATAGCGTGCTGAGGTCTCTTCTACCTGCGGTCAACCTGCCTGTTCTGCTTCAGTTGCCGGCCAATGTGTTGTAAAATTATCTTTTCTCTTTCCTAGCACTCTTCTTCACTTATTTATTCAGTGCAGTGTACACTGAACTTAGCTTCTCTTTCTCTTGTCCATCTTTGGATTGAGTCATCTCTTACACCACCCTCCTCTCTTCTATTAGCTTCCAGGTAGGTGTCCGTTGACAGCCATTCCTCGTCTTGTCTCTTCTTTCTTCGTAGAACATTTATACACGTTTCTTTGAACATCACCTACAGAAAGTGAGTTCCAATGTTCTTCCACTCAGGTTTCCTTGAGTGATACCACATAGTGTCTCCAACTTTGCTCTGATATCTGCAGTGAAGCTATCGATGATTGAGTACTATGTACTTCTCTATCATGTGTCTAAATTATAAACCTATTTAATTATTAGCATGATGTATATTATCTTCAGACACTTCAGAGACGTAAATGAATCACTGTAGCTTATAAGGTAGTAAAAATCACTTGAAAAGAAAAGAAATGACAAAATCATTTAGTAAACTGTTTTTTTTATTTCCACATTTCTAATATATTAATGAACTGTCGTATTAATTGTCCCCATAAACAACATGGTACGGATGAGGGTGGTTGGAATACGGTCTTCCTCTTTAAATGTTTTCATATGTCCACGCGTTCGTAGTCTGTGCCAGGCAAGTCCTATTCACTGCCTTCAAGCTGCATGAGTGTTCCTCAAAAAAGGTAAGAAAACACTGGTGGACATGCAGGTCTACCTAGGAGCTCCGGAATCCTAAAGGATCGAATGGCGTATTAGCCTATTTGCATAAATGTATATACTACTAATTGGTTGGGATTAGTAGCTGCACACCACTCATATCAACCAGTAGTGCTTGCTAGCCAAATCAAGATGATGTAAACACCGGATGCCCATTTCGCTCGTTTGAGGCCGACCTCGCCACTAGTGTACCCGGTTTGACTCAGTTCAGAGATAGAGCCGAATCAGTTCAAACCAACCGATTTTTGGCTAGCTGCTTGGACTAACTGGTGCTACCATAAATCAAGTTCACAATTTGTAATATACACAGTCTGAGAGAAGTGGAATTTTACCATAGTTTTCTCTGGAAATCATATTATTCAGATCACTGTACATGATCTGATTAGTATTGTGGTGAGAGCTGTCTACTAGCCAAATTGGTAGACAGTAATTTACGTTCTCAAGATTTGTCGTGAGAAAAATATGAACAAAGACTGACTGAACCACCAACCACAGCAGACTTTGCGTAGGCGGATACAGTTAACATATAGATGATCTGACGTTCAAGAAACAGTCACAAAGAGATGAAAGACATACTTTAAGTGAGAAACAACCAATCAGAAGACTGTGTTTGTTTGCTTAACTAAACTGTAATAATGTACATGAAAATATATAAATATGCTTTGATTTCCTTAATAAAGGATCTGTTGCCTGGCCCTTGTCTTCTGTTGTTACAGTATGAGCGGTATACAACTACTCATCTCAATCAGTCAGTAGTATGTAGTTTTATACTTTACGCTTACTTCTCGATTACCATTTATGGTATCAAGGAGATCACATATTGTGTGTGACCTGAATAATTTTGGTTTCCAAAGGAAACTGTGTTGGAAGAAGTTCACCTCTTTGAACTTTGCACATTGCAAATTTTGAATTTCATTTATGGTGCGTGAACCTGTTTTAGTCACTGATAACCATGGGAACGTAGCTCATTATGTTGCTTCCAAGACTTCAAGTCAAAGACTTGAGGAGGGAGGGTGGCCGCCTAAGACAAAACCACCTGTTTCTCTCTGGACTTCCAAGCACTATTCCAGCTCTCGTACAAACTATGAGATTCTTTGTCGAGCATTTCTTGGTGTCCGTAATACTTAGTTTGTGTATCCGTGACGACAGAAGACAAGAGTCAGGAAACAGATCGCCTACTGAGGAAATCAAGAGATATTTATATATTTTTACGTACATGATTATTCGTTATTATTGGCAGAGAAACAGCGTCTTCTGATTGGTTGTTTTCTCGCTGAAAGTTATTCTGTCATGTCTTTGTGTCCATTTCTTTGAAGGTCAGACCACATATCTGCGAATCGTATCCGCCCACTCAAAGTCTGTTGTGATTGGTTATTGAGTTAGTCTTTATTTTTGTTCTTTTCTCACAACCAAGATTTGGGACGTAAATTGCTGTCTACCAATTTTGGCAAGCAGACAGCTCTCACCGCATATTAACAATAATAACTCACTAATTAATTAATTAATTAAATATTATAACTGTTATTTGTTTTCTTTTTTTAATATTTTTTTTCCAGTATTATTTTGATATTACAAATGATTCAGATGAAGTTCTCTTATCACTTGTACGTAAATATAATCGTGATCCATTAACTATGGTTATAGAACCAGATTTAAGCGTATTATCTGTTGGTTTAGGCCTATTCAAGGTGAGTAAATCACATTTCTATAAAATGTTAAATAAAATTTAATATCATACAGATCACTATTAGGTGGTTGTCAACAGAAATATTAATATGTATTGTAATAATAATGATGATCAACCTTGATCAGAATTGTAACAGTTCAAATCCCTAGAAATAAACTTTGTGAGAATTAATCTGATGCTCTCTCTAGTGACTGGCTGGCGACAGGATGAAGTGACCTGGAGTTCCAGTGAGAAGTTGTGACTAGTGAGGTCCACGCGGTTGGAAGTGAGGATAAATACTCGCTGATAACATTGACTGGCAGTCGACCTAAAATCACTAGTTAGTAGAACTTGGAATTCATGGGCTATCAGATCGAATCTCAGTGGCTGAATTGTGTAAAAGCTTGCCCCGTAACCAGAAGGTTCTGGGTTCAAACTCTGGTAGGGTGGAGGCGGGGGTACTGATGAAAAGTCATGGACAAGGAACAAACAGCTTTCCAGTACTCCCTGCTTCTCTAATTGATATCAGCTTGCGATCAGACTTGAAATACATTAAATCCCTACAAACTCAAGAGAATCCTCGTCCAGAATTGTTATCCAGGACGATTTATTGCAAAGTCCATGAATCGTAGACCGCAAAAGCCGCCCACGCTTAGCGTCCCGAAAAAAACTTCTCTACATGAACCTTCAATTCAATGGAGATTTATCTGCGGAAATACTGAAAAATTGACTGTCCCGTTCACTTAATAAAACCTTCTTTGCAGCTGAACTACGATTAACATTCTCCACGAAACCTATGATTCGTATGAACGTGAAGGATAAGCTACCACTGCTGGCCTCATCAATGTGTATCTACCAATTCACCTGCTCGTGTGGAGCCAGGTATGTCGGCCGTACCCAGTGTTCGCTATCCAAACGTATCACCGAACACTTACCAGCATAGTTTTACAAAGGAGAAAAACGATGACCCCGCAACTCTATCTTAGAACATCTGATAGATTCCGGACACCAAGCTACACCCCAAACAAACTTCAAAGTCGTCTACAGAATACGAAGCAGTCTTCCTAAAAGTGTACGAGTCAAACTTCTCCAAACTGCAGAAGCAATGGCAATTTACTTGCTAAGCCCTGAACTCTGCATACAGAAGAAGTTCGTTCAATGACTACACTTGCAATGGACGTAATCTGTCTTAATACCTGACAGGTAAATTCTGTTTCTTCTGTCTCTTCATTAGTATTATTTTGTCTTTACAATTGTAATATTTTACATTTTCAACTTTCCTGTTCTCTACCCCTACCCGATTTAATTTCTACACCTCATTACCACTGTTACTGACTTGACCAACGCTCAATTTCTAGTCATTTATATTACGTCATCCAATTTATTTGCTCAACTTTAGTCCTAATTTAAATGGCATTATTGTCTACCCCACCTCTACTCAGTCTCTACCTGTAATTACCTCTGTTGCTATCCTGACCTAGGCTGAGACATTTTAGTCAATTATATTACGTCATCTAACTTACTAAGTCAATCTTACTTTAGTTGCTGTCTAATTAACCTTGTTTCTATACTAGATCATTCTTGTATTACCTGAATAATTATCTAAACTTGACAAACCTCATGTACACACACACACAAAATTATATATAAATGCAATTGTACAGCTATGTGAATGAATTCGCCGAAAAGAGTCTCTTCGCTGAACGTCTTCTCTTTTTCATATGACTCAATGGGAATTTTTAAGCTTCTTGAAAAAAATAATCAAAATCTTGGGACTTTAGATTTCTGAATACTCTTCACTAATTTTCAAGTGATTATTCCCTCCCGCACTTGTGGTTTTTTTTATTGTAATATTATTCTGGTTTTATTTTTTTTCTTTTCGTGAGCTTTTGGAGATAATGTTTTTCTCTGTAAAATATTCACGTCGACTTGTCAGTCAACAACACTTGTAGTAAAAGCTGTTGTGCTGCAGGACGTGTGTACTGCGCAACATTTCGCTCTGTCCTCCTTTGTGTCTGTGAGACACACAGGCATTGAAAGTTGAAGATTATGAAAAGGCTAACTGTCTTTGACCATAGGTATCTATGTTCTACCTCCCGTATTCAGTGGTAGTACAATAGGGTGAGTACTATTGAGGTTAGGCGTCGAGTGGCTAGGTAAGAAGGGGAGAGTGAACCGATGAGGTTTTGAAGGTGAATCGATTGAGATGGTTTGGACATGTGTTACGAATGCTGAGCCACCGCTTTCGTCGTCGAACAATATCACCTGGTCTAGAAGTAGGTTGGGTGAGAGTTACGGGTGGTCAAACCAAAACACGCCATCAATCCATGAAGACGTTGCTATTCTTTCTCCCTCACATTTCTGCTTATAATTGTTCTTTTGAATCTCTTTTTTCTCTCTCTCTTTTCTCTACCTCTGGGTGTTGCATGAAGTGTGGCAAGTTGTGAACTGTTGCACTTCTACGTTGAAACCTGGTTATTAGAACAAACCAATGAGTTTTAATTGATAGATTTCTCGTTTCGAGATAAATTCTTCTGATGAACCTTCATAGTCTAGATGGGTATTAGAAGCCAAGTAAAGAGTGAGTTCATCAAGTTACCTGTAGGAATACTTACTAATCGTTGACACTTGATGACAATGACACTACAGTAACCTGGATTGACAGAAACTGTAATCTTATGATGTGTGGTTAGATTTCAATTCGCTGGTTAGATGGTAACTCGCTCTTGTCGAAAATCAAATCCTCTGGGCTCTATCTCTTATGATATATATATATGACCTGGCGACCCCCATCATCAAACCAACGCTGGACACAAATAGACCACATAGCAATAAGCTATCGTTGGCATGGGTCGGTAGGAGATTTTCGCTCCTTCTGGAACACGTGTGTAGATACCGATCACGCACTGGTCCGCGCTCGTGTGTGCTTACGACTGAACGGACGTAGGAAACAGCTAGCGGTAAACCCATCACATCTCCAGCTCGATCAGGAAACTAAGTCCCTATTTGAGGAAAAACTAGCTAAACACATATCTGAGTTCGACAGCTGCACTCACCCTGAAGAAGCCTGGAAGAATATTCAGTCAGCCATAGATACAGCTGTAAAAGCTGTGAATAAGGTGAATCCAAAGGTGAGTAAAAACCATTGGATTTCGACTGCTTCATCCGAACTGATAGATGCCAGAAGACTTATTCCGGCGAGCTCCGAATTCAATGAGGAGCGAAAGCTGCACAAAAGGAAACTTACGAAAAGTCTCCGCAAGGACCGTGAACAGTGGTGGTTGACAAAGGCGAAAGAGATGGAAAAAGCATCGGCGATAGGCAACACTAGACAACTCTTTAGACTCATCAGGGAAACGGGTGGGAGAAGGCAAATCATAAGTGAGACTATTTCTGAGGAAAATGGCTCCTTAATTAGCTCTCAGGATAGACGCCTTGAACGCTGGAAACGACAATTTGAGGAACAATTTAACTTGCCTACAGCCACACTAAGCCTCCCCGCCATCCAGCACACACCCGAATGGGATATAGACACTGGCCCGCCGTGTGTAAGTGAGGTCACCAAAGCTATCTGTAATTTGAAACGAGGCAAAGCGGCAGGACCCGACGGAATTATTGCAGAGGTGTGTAAATAAGGGGGTGACATACTAGTATATAGTTTAACTAAGGTACTAGGTAACGTCTGGGAATCAGAGACGGTTCCATCAGATTGGGGTAAGTCACTTATTATACCAATATTCAAGAAGGGAGACAAGTCCTTATGTGATAATCATAGAGGGATCAGCCTGACGAACATAGTCTCTAAAATCCCAGGCTCAGTAATCATGCACAGACTAAGCCGAACTCGGGAGGAACAAACGAGGGAAAATCAAGCAGGCTTTAGGCCAGGTAGAGGATGCATAGATCACATCTTCACTCTCTGACAGATCCTGGAACATAGACACAATTTTCGGCGTCCAACAATTGCCATATTTCTTGACTTGAAGGCGGCCTTCGACTCCGTGGATCGAGAGGTACTATGGCAGTGTTTGACTGTGAAGGGAGTGCCAAGAAAGTACATTGCACTAATCAAGGCACTCTACTCAAACTCACGTAGGTGTGTAAGGGCTTATGGGGAATCGTCATCTGAATTGATAACAACCAGTGGTGTCCGTCAAGGATGTCCACTTTCTCCATTTCTGTTTAACTTCATCATAGATATGCTAATGGAAGTATCCCTAACTGAACTTAACGACTTAGGAATCGACTTGTTACCAGGGAATAGTCTTATGGACTTAGAATACGCAGACGACATAGTCCTGTTAGGGGAGGACGCTGACAAAATGCAGAGTCTTCTGAACACCTTGAGCAGCAATCTTCGTATGTTTGGCATGCGATTCGCCCCTGTAAAATGTAAGATGCTGCTACAGGACTGGATTACGTCTACCCCTAGCTTCGTGATAGGGAGTGAAGTGATAGAACATGTTGACCACTTCACCTATTTGGGAAGTTGTATCAGCACCAACGGATTGATTGGTGACGAAATCTCAGCACGGATCCAAAAAGCTCGAGCTGCTTTCGCTAGCTTACAGCATCTCTGGCGTCGGCGTGACATCCGATTATCAACCAAGGGACGTGTATACTGCTCAGCAGTTCGCTCCGTCCTTCTTTATGATGGTGAGACGTGGCCATTGAGAGCGGAAGACATGAAAAGGTTGACTGTTTTTGATCATAGATGTTTACAATCTCTTTCTCACGTTAGGTGGTATAATAAGGTAAGTAATGTTGACGTTAGGCGTAGAGTGTTGGGCAAAGAGGGAAGATCAATCGAAGAGGCTATAAAGTTACATAGATTGAGATGGCTAGGTGACGTGCTGCGCATGCCTAACCATCGCCTCCCCCCAAGGAAGGGCATTACTAGCTGATATAGGTGCAGGTTGGAAAAGAGTAGGTGGTGGCCAAACAAAAACATGGCATCAATCAATCCATGAAATCCCTGACAGTTAAACTGAGTCAGGTAGGGAGATGCAGACTTCCGGGTTGGGGCCCTCGGGACTCTAAGAATCAATGGCTGGAGACACTAGGTGACATGGCTCAAAATCGTTGTCAATGGCTTACGCAGATGTATTCAGTCTCTGTATTCTTTCATATTTCTTTCTACCATTACTCATTCTGTTTCACTCTTATACTTGTCAAAACTCTATTGATTCTCTTCACTCATTTTCTTGTCTACCTTTGTGTGCTATTTGGAACGTGGCAACTCGAACTGCTGCACTTGGGTGCCAAGTTCTATGTTGAATCCAGCCATTTATATATATATATATATATATATATATATATATATATATATATGAGAAAATGTGATCAGACGAAGAAATACTTTTCAGCAATTTCAGTTACTACAATCGTCCATTTGTAACCAATAATTTCACATTTAAAGTACATAATAACAAGCAAAATATATTCAATAGTTAAGATTAGTGAGCGTACGCGTCAAGTGTTAATAACAAGTGACCTAATCACATTTCCCAATAAGTACTCACCCATCTGTAGACATTTGTCAGTTGATCATTCCAATAACAGCTTTCTATGAATCGGTCACTTCAAGGTCCCATCAATCCTCCTTGTTGATTTCATACCAACAGAAGAAATAGTAAACACGTTTAAAGACATGAATCGGGTCATAGTTACTACAGGTAATATGTGCTATCCATATACATGTTTTTAGGATTTATTTCCTGGATTGTTGATTTCAGCTGACCATTTTCTTTTTAACGAAATATACCTGAATTACGGTTGTGTTTCTTTTATGTGTATTTCGTTTCATATTCATAAGTTTAGTGTGATATGGATAAAAGTGACATACAACTCCCTTGTTGTGAGCGAGTTCATTTTATATTTAACACATCACCTGTATAGTGTAACGGAGATTGCCATCCTATAGGTTGATAATTTTAATTCTAGAGTTGACTGACTAGCAAGAAGTGATTTTATTGAGTCTTTAACACGATAAAGTTTTCTTATTTCTCAGTCGTCAATCAAGAGTCACCTCCAGTTTGTTTTTATTTTATATTTCCATGGAGGGTGTTTTGCTTCATGAAATACCTCTGATTTTGACAAAAATACAGATACTTCGTGTCAGTTTATGAAATCGGATTTTCTCAGGAAATAGTTTTAAGGATTTGATTTGTTTTCAGTTTTTCCACGGACTGATATCATCATTTAGAAAACCGTTAAAAACCATGTCGGGTCCGAGGACACAAATACTCTCCGATGGTACTGGTTGGTGGTCACGCTAACATCACTAAATGGCCATTGAATCAGGTCCCAGTGGCTGAAAAGTTTACGAGGTTGGTTTGTAATCGGAAGTTCGTGGGTTCGAACTCCGAGGGTGCGGGTACTGATGAAGAGTCCGAACAAGGACGAGACAACTGTCCAGTACTCTGTGGTTTTCTTAATTATGTCAACTCGTGATCAAAACTGAAGCAAGTAGTTTTTTTTTGGTTTGAGGATTTCATCATGAGCTGACATCAGTTAGAGAACCATTGGAAAACCTGCAAGGAGTACTGGACAGCTGTTTCGTCCTAGTTTCGGACTCTTCAGTAGTACGCGGCCACCGCCACGGTTAAAACCCAAGACCTTCTGATTACAAGGCGAGCTCTTAGACCATTAAGCCACGGTGGATGCGTACTGACGAAGAGTCCCAAACTGGGACGAAACAACTGTCCAGTACTCCCTGAAGGTTTTCCAATGGTTCTCTAACTGATGTCAGTTCATGATGAAATCCTCGAACCAATCAAAATCCCTTCAAAACCAATACTTGAAAATCGTTTTTTGTTCAGGTTTGTGGTATTCTTGACTTCTGTTGCCCTCAATTGCCCTAAACTATGTTCTATTCAAACGCGTTTGTTAAGTTGAATATTCCAGTCTGATTTAGTTGTTACACTTTTATGTAAGTTATTTTGTATTTTTGATTTCACAACTATATTTCATACATATCAGTGTTGCAAAGTTTCAGTTCTATATTTTCCATTTAGATTGAAAAAAACCGTCCTGTGAAAGCACATACAATATCTTTCTGTCAGGTAATTCATGTAGAACCATGTCGACCGTATCGAGTTTGTCTTATTCGTGCACGTTTGTCTGTGGGTCGTTATTTGGTAGTCCCATTCATGGAACAACCTTTGTCAACAGCTGCCTATTTATTGAGACTATACTTACCAAAACGTTCAGAAAGCAAGTGAGTATTTACAATTGTTTCTTTAGGTATCTTTACAACCACTTTTTACATGCTCGAACAGTTCTCTTTGAATTGGGTAACTGCTACATCTGGTTTACTGAGTACTTTATTGCATTTATAACATTCCCAACCAACAGTGGAGTTAGACGGGGTTACCCAATCTCTCTCCATTTCTCTTTAACTCTACCATTGTCGACATTCTGGAGTCAACGCTGATGGATATGCGTGATGGTGGGGGTGTGGAGCTGCCTTCTGGAGAAAGACTTTCTGACCTCCACTATGCCGTCGCCAGTTGCGTTACTTCTGGCTCAGTTTTACTTTACATCTGTGAAACGTGGTCTTTCCTAGCTGAGGATGTGTGGCGACTCTGCTTATGCGATCATCGCTGTCTCTGTAGAACTACTTGCGTCCTATGGCATCATCGTACGAGTAATTTTGAGGTGGTGTGTTTGGGCACGGTAGAGGTCACCATTCATTAAGTGTCGTTATTGCAGGACATCGACTTCGGTGGCTTGGACATGTGCTACGAATGTCACCTCAGAGGCTTCCGTACCCGTGGCTGTTTGCTAATCCTGGGACTGGATTGAAAAACCAGATAGGTGGTCAGCCTATGATACGGTGTCGTGGGTTGAAAGATATTTGTGTTAGGTTAGCATCGATTGGTACATCACAACTTCCTGGTTGAGGTTCAAAAGATAGTTCAAATCAGCGCCTCGAAACGTTATCAGATATGACCGAGAATCGCAATCAATGAGGAGTATTCTGTAACTTCCCTATTTCTTCCCTTTCTGACAGTAATACCATAACAACAGAAGACAAGGGCCAGGCAACAGATCCTTTATTGAGAAAATCAACAGATATTTATAGATTTTTATGTACATTATTATTCATTATTATTAGCAGCACAGAAACGGAGTCTTCTGATTGGTTGTTTTATCGCTGAAAGTTATTCTGTCATCTTTTTGTGGCCGTTTCTTTGAATCGTATTTGCACACGCTAAGTCTACTGTGATTGTTTGTTGAGTTCCTCAAGGTTAGGCTTTGTTCTGGTTTTTTTCTCATGGCCCCGATTTTGGACGTAAACATTGACGTCAATTGTTGTTTACAGTTTTGTCTTGCTGACAGCTCTCACCGCAATACGACTAATGTTGTTTGCTCTTGTCAAATATGCTTGCTTCCTTTCTGGATGACATCCTCTATTCATTCTCTCCCTATGCTTGTTTTTGTTGTGGGGCACATCTTCTTTGTGTCTATATTGTAGCAAATTTGTGTTATTAGTGAATTTATTACAAACCTTTTATGGCACTGATATCAAGTAATGCTCCATACCAAACAGTACGACAGAGGTGTAAAACAAACAGGTGAAAAAGGACTTTAAAAATAATAAACAAATGAGAGTATTCTGAAGTAATTTGATGGACGGTGACTAGCAGTGGGGGATCCAAGATGCGCATTTCATCATTCTATTTAAGACTCTTCAGCTAAATGATAACGCTCTCACTGAGACTCGAATCCAAGTAGCCAGCATTTCAAACACCAAAACGTTATCCACTAGACCACTTGTGGGCTACAAATCCTCCTACCTCTAGTACAACAGGCATCACTTACCTCTTGTTTTTAAGTTGACTTTGATTTTCCCCTTTGATGACTGATTGAACCGAAAGGTTTCGGCCTCTGTTAACTCCAACAACTAAATGCTGCTCAACTAGTTCTAATCAATCGTTAGATATCATCGAATTGTCCGTACTTGTTAATAACAGAGGTGGGACGTTTCGATTAAATCAATCAATGGGAAAATGAAAATTAACTTCAAAACAAATGAATATTCCCATAAGATTGATTAGAAGACGCGTTTACTACTTAAGGTTGCGGTATGGTCGCCACTAATTTCGACGTTCAGTTATATTTGGCAGCATCTCGGACCACTTATCCAAATTATTCCTCAAATCACATTCAGATAATCGTGTTCCGCTGACAGCTGATAACCTCAATACATCTATCCTTTACCCTACAGTGCGACCCTCTGGACAGTAGGCAGTAGATACTATAAAATTGGTAAGGTCAATTAGTCTTGTTGGGAATAAGTCGAGGAGATGCGTCTTTCTTTTGTACTTTCGACAATCCGTAGAGTCGAGGTACATTTGATCCAGGTGACTTTATGGGGCAAAGTTAAAGTTTAAGCACCACTAACTACCAATCAGCGAATAACTTCGAACGCACCAATCACGTGAAGGAGGCATTTTTGTGTATTGAATACATTTTTATTTATGAAATGATGCATACAAACTGTAGAAAAATGTTATAGCGGATACCTTCCTCTCACGTGTGATAAAAATAGACCTCAGTTTTAGCTTGGAGTATCAACAGAGTGTAATTCCATTGTAGGTAAAATTTATTCTGATAAAGTCTTATAGTGTAATACAGTAATATCTACTGAGCAATGAATTGTGCTCGAAACGTCATCAGTAAATATTACTGTATAACACTGTGAGACTTAATGAAAATAAATTTTACCCACAATGGAATTACACTCTACCATAGTACACAAGTACTATTCTTATGTCAACAGAGTAATTTAGCCACATTCTATGTATGTAATTATTTGGGTCTTCTAACCCTAACAATCACCCTAATCTTTCTCGAACCTAACCCTAACGTGAAAATATCCCTAAACTAACTGTAATCTAACTCGAACCAACCCTAATGCCTCCCTCATTAGGTTTGTAACGACAGAAGGCAAGAGTCAGGCAACAGATCATTTATTAAGGAAATCAACGCATATTTATATATTTTCATGTACATTGCTATGGATATTTAAGCAAACAAACACAGTCTTCCGATTGGTTGTTTCTCACGTAAAGTTAATCTTTCATCTATTTGTGACTGTTTCTTGAATGTCAAATCCTCTACATGTTAACTGCATCCGCCTACGCAAAGTATGCTGTGGTCGGTTTTGAATCAATCTTTGCTCACATTTTCTCACGACAAATCTTGGGAACGTAAATATTGACGTAAATTACTGTCTATCAATTTGGCTAGTAGACAGCTCTCACCACAGGTTAACCTAACCCTAACTTGTCCTTGGCTTAAAGCGTAACTTAATCTTTCCCGAACCTAAGCTGAAAATGCCAGATATCCCATTTAATGGCATAACACTTCGATGAGCATATTTTACTGATGATGACAACATTGTCTGCCAGGTTTGACTAACTTCTTCAGTGAGCGTTTCAAGGTCACTGGTGCGGTCGCACTCCATTGGTAGTTGGTGGTGCTTAAAGTTTAACTTGGCCATTCAGGGATTCAAATATTTCAGCGTCAATGAATCCTATCGTCCTCGTGATTTATGATTACGATAACCCCACCTTTATCAGGGCATAGCAGCATGATCTCTTTATTCTTCATGAATTCTTCCAGGTATTTATGAATTTTCTTGCTTAATATGGACCTTCCGATTGGTTTGATATTTATAAACTTGTAACAGCTGCGTCGGTGGCATAGTGGTTAGGACGCTCGCCGACCATGCACATGGTCCGGGATTCGATCCCCGGCCGACGCACTCCTTTACCTCGCTAAGCCAGAAATAATGCTGGTAAAGAGGAAAAGTTGGGCATGAAGCTAGCAACCTCATCCTGTAAAATAAACACTGCTACAAAAACTTCAAGCCACTAGCTTGAATCCCTATGTTCCACTGGGGAACGTGAAGGAAAAAAACAACTGTGAAGGACTGATTAACTGAATTATTGCAGATTCTCTTCAGATGTTAGTACCAGATCATACGTTTGATTTATCAGCAGGTTTTCAAACTGAATCTTCTGGATGTGTGGTGGTTTTTTGCAGAATTTTGGAATGTTGGCAGTTCTATGTTGGAAACACTAAATAGATATTTTTCTGGATTGCCTGGGAATGGACTTCAGGCTGTTAGTTAGATCCGACTTAGTCGTATAACATTATTTTTCTGTGATATCGGGGACATATTTTTCGAAGGATTGGCATAGTTATTGATCTAAATCGTGGACTGTGTGAGCTCGTAGACGGGCATTTCACTCTAGTTCGGGAATATGTGATTGAATGGAATTAATGTTGTTTAGAGTATGTTTTCTGTTATTCGGTTGTATGTGGTTGCGTCTGAGTGATTTCCAGGTACATCTTTAGATGCTCATTTCGATTTAAACACCCTCTTAAAAAATGTATCTTTATCTTCGTTACTTCAAGCTTGACTGAGTAACGCAGGAAACTGCCCAGATAGTATAAAAACCACTAGAAAGATATTTATAAAACTTATCCACTCTGCTGAAGCCCATGTTTCGTAATAATGTCGTTAATAAGGGACAGCCTACATCATTTCTGAACCATGCTTCATTGGACCTCGAAACTACGTACACAGTAACACTACTATATGCAATCAGTCCCAAAATAAACAATAGTAATAGAACACAGATTCGTAGAATATTTTAACTCAAAAATATTGTCTCATAAGTATAGTTGAGAAGTGTATCATCAATGAGGTCTTGTAAACTCCCTCTCTCTCTCATACATTTATTCCCCTTAATGAATTTGAATAAAGCAAGAACAACAGTGGTTTTGTACAGAATAAAATGGTACCACCACTGTTTTATTTCGTTACCTTCTCATCAACTCAGCTGCTTACACACCAAAGTCATTATTAAGTATATCTACAGAAACAATTTTAACATACACTTGCACAGAGTTCATATTTAAACAAAATCAATCAATCAATCAATATATGCATACAGTAATAATATATATATAATAATATTAAACACTATTCCGAACAGTAATGATCATGAACAATTGAAACTTTTGACATTACGCGATCCGATGAAAGACAGGTGAAAGTATCCAGTTATCAGGCAGAGCAAAGAAAGACTGACAACTGCTTCTTTCTGAGCAGAGTGTCAGATTAATTTTCAAGAGTTATTTTGTAACGATTCGAACCCCAGTGGATGTGTACTGCACATGATTCCCAAAACTAGGATGAAACGGCTGTCCAGTACTCTCTGCTGGTTTTCAATGGTTCTCTAACTGATATCAATCCGTGGTCAAACTGAAAAAACAAATTTAACCCTTACAAAACAACTCTTGAAAAATAATCTGGTAAACGTTTTGAACGTCAATAATAACGATGATTATAATAATGACACAGTAATTTTTTATTTTTTGATTATAGCTTGATTCCCCATAGTACTTTTTGGTAGAAGTATGGAATTTTCAGCATGTGATATCGGTAGCCCAAATCTTGCAGGCCGACCACTGATATCAGGTGTGCGTCGGCAGGAGGTCGGACGCCGGACCATGTGCATGGTCGGCGAGCGTCCTAACCGCTATGCCACCGACGCATGTGGCTGTAATAATAATGAAGGTAGTATTATTGTGGTGAGAGCTGTCTGCAAGCCAAAGTTGTAAGCAACAATTTACGTCTCGAATCGGAGTCATGAGAAAAAACAGAAACACGAATAAAGCCAAACGTTGAGGAACTAAACAACCAATCACAGCAGACTTAACGTGTGCAAATAGAGAATATCCTTTTTGATAATTTCCTCTTCTGACTCTACAATTATTTATATGCGTATGTGCATAGAATATTCTAGAATAGTAGTCAATAACAATATTAGTGTTTTTTAAATAATATCGACTTGTAAAGTAAGATCAATGCAATTACAATTCATTAAAGATGCTTAAATTATCATTATAATAATAATAATAATATAGCAGCAAACAGAATATCAACTGAAATTAAGGATCATTAAAACCTTGACGGCCAAGGTAAGGAAAATATCTAAACTGGCTTCTTTTGGACGCATAAATTAACCTTCTTTAATGTGGATCTCAGCGGCCTCACCAATATTTAGTAAACGAACTGTTAATGTGAAGTTAAGATTTGTTAGTATGCGATAAAAGACTTTGAAAGCTGCGTCGTTGACATTAATCTTGTGTTCTGTATCCACAAGATGAGACAGAATAGCGCTACGAATAGATTTTGTTTCTCCTATACTTAACCACTAAGCAGGGTGATGTTCGAAAATTAGACGAGAAACATGCCTAATCGTACGGTCTATGTAACTGGCTCCACAGGAGCAGTTAAATGCATTAATCAGGTTTCAGGAGCTTGATCGAGATGGCTTCAGAAAACTTGAGTAGAATCGAACTCGTTTGCCTAATGATAATTTCGAACGATCTTGCGACGTCCACCTCATGAACCCCGTCAATGAGATGACTGACGATGGCACAATTTAAAGCATTTGTTTCCTTTAGACAGACATAAGCTTTTTGGTACATGTTCAGAAAATCGTAGATATGCCCTTCTTCTTTCTGTTCTTCCAATGTAACTGCTCCCACAAATACATTTAAATTTGTATGTATGTATGTATGCATAATCTCCTAGCTCTACAGTATATAGTCTTAACTAGTTCACGTTTAAAGCTATTTGGACAAGAACTATTAAAATGTAGGTATTGTTCTTTCCGAGTAGGCTTTCGGTAAATTGACCTCTGAAGACTACCATCTTCTAGGCGTTGCTTGGCAACGTCTAGGAAGTGGAACTTTCCATCACTTTCATGTTCCATAGTAAATTCAGTATTGGTATGTGTGTCATTGAATAACCTGAGTAAGTGGGAAGCATGACTTTCATTGTTGCATACTACAAATGTGTCATGGACATATCGACAAAGCCTCAGGATGGTCGGGGGTGAGTGCCTTGCGCTGCGGGTTGGCCACCCCTCCGCACACCTCTCGAAATGCTCCCATATGACCGGGCGTCTTACATAGCCTCTCCTGAGGAAGTCATACTCACTGCCTTCACGTGGCGGAGGTGTTTTTCATCAAAGTGAGAGGGCGAAAGCGGATGCCCGGCGCTCTTCACCGGGTTGACTGTCCATTTGATGACAGTCTAGGGGAGATGGCTAAACCCTGATTCCAAACCTCCAACGACTGGCGTATGAAGCCCACTGGAGCTCACCGGCAGACGTATGGACAAAGGGCTTGTTGGATGTCCTGGATGTCTGGCCCCATTCAAAAAGGCGTATGAACCGAACTCCGGTCACCGGCTGACAATGGATAGTAGACTCCCTACTCCACTCCTACTGCCTTGTAGGTCACACTTGGTTGTGTAAAGGCTAGAGCTGCACTCTCAAACAAAAGGCCGAGCGATTCTGGGGACATCACTCGTACCAAATTCCCATGAAGCTTCATGAACTCTCTTACAAATGACTCTTTCGCCGCGCCTGGGCAGCGATGATTCGAGATGTTCATGAAGCCGGCTCATCCTCCCGTAGGAGATAGCCAAAGTAAAGTAAGTATATCGACAATAAGAAGTTGTTTCGTCGATTACATGCTCTGACTTTGTTCTTTCAAGGTTGAACATGAATATATATCGTTCAAAATTATCAATAGGCAAAAGAGTTCAATTCTCCTCAAGTTCGCCGAAGCAATCTCCATCAAGCGCCTGAAACCTGACTGATTTATGCGTTCAGAAAGTAGCAGTTGTCAGTCTTTCTTTGCCCTGCCTGATAACTGGATATTTTCACCTGTCTTTCATCGGATTGCGTAATGTCAAAAGTTTCAATTGTGCACGATCATTACTGTTCGGAATAGTGTGTAATATTATAGATATATATGTACATATATTATTACTGTATGCATATATTGATTGATTGATTGATTTTGTTTAAATATGAACTCTGTGCAAGTGTATGTTAAAATTGTTTCTGTAGATATACTTAATAATGACTTTGGTGTGTAAGCAGCTGAGCTGATGAGAAGGCAACGAAATAAATGATGGTACCATTTTATTCTGCAAAAACCACTGATGTTCTTGCTTTATTCAAACTCTCTCTCTCTCTGTTTATTTTGTGCTAAACTCTAAGTAACTATGGTGTTAAAAAAGATGACTCTGATTGGTAAATGACATTTCAGCTTTCAAAATAATACGCTCTTACTATTCATGCTAATCAAAAGGATTCCCTAAAATCACCTTTTCGAAAAGTTTTATTCTACTCTCTTAGAGTGTTTCTTCATTCCCCCTTATTAAGCATTACATTTTATACTGATAAGAATGTGTTGCGTTTACCAGTGACCACGTATGCTATAACTTCTTTATCCACAAATAATTTTGTCTGTATGTTACATCACTCCTCAAAGATTTTAAAAAAATTAATCAAAAACATTCATTCTTATCTCCTAATTGACTGATGAACACTGCACCTGCACGAAATTGTATCAGTTCAGGTCGCGCTGTACTTTGCAGTAACATAACTAAAAGTGAAGAAAAGAAATTCCAGTAAACTAAAAATGTACAAAGACGCATGAGAGAGGAAAGACAGCTGAAGATTAGTCAGGATTCTCAGGGTCTAGATGGTGACAAAGAATAAATACATTTAATCCATTTAAGTCTCCAGTCATTGTGTTTTTGTAAGTCCTGAGAACCCAAATCAGGAAGTCTGCGCTTCCTGCGCTACGACCGAAAACTTCATAGATTTATTCTATGCACATTGTTCTCACCAGTTCTGATTCTGTTACAGTCCAATCCTATGTCACCTAACATTGCTGGTCGTGGAAGGAGAAGATGGCTTAGGATGCGCAACATCTGAATCGATGTAGCTTTACAACCCATATCGATTAATTTACCGTCCTTACCTCTAGCACTACGCCTAACCTCAGTCTCTGAGTCTAATGGAACTCTCTCTCTCCGTGTGTCTAATTCCCAGACGCACCTTAGTTAACCCGGAAAACATGTTTACCTTGAACACCTCTGAGGTCATTTTATCCTATGTAAGTGTGAAGTCTTTGATCAATTCAAGTGTTATTGTCTCATTTTTTTGCGCTGAATCGTGTCGTCTCCTAAATTTCTAGAATTTCATTTATTCATCGGAGAAAAATTCTCCTGTTTCTTCTCCTGTAGAGAATATACTCTGGATATACCGCATAATGGTTTTTTGGATTTCTTTGCCGGTAAGCCAAAAGAAGCTGTTCGTCTACATATTCACAGTGCTACAAATCTTCTATGGCCTGATGGAAAAAATCCTCCATCACCGTATTGTGTTATCAAATGTGAAAATGAGACTGTATACACAACTATTTCACAAAGTAATAACAATCCTGTCTGGGATGAATACTTTGTATTCTACCGTCGTAAATTGAATAAACCGATTGTAATTTGTGTAAGTTTATTGATTGCTGACTTTTACAGATCGATAAATTAGTTGAAAATCTTTTTTTTTAAAATAATTTTTATTGTATTGATTTCATTTTCTTGTCATATTTCTTTTCATTGTATAGTAATTTTGGTGTGTTTAGTAATTGCTGTACTTTTATGTGTGTGTGTGTATAAATGGGAGTTTGTGTGCGTACTTTTTCTAGTTTAATGACGGCAATAAAGTAGCCGACTTAAATAAGCGTTGCTGTTTTTTTCAAAGGTAGACGGTTGTCTGGCGAAATTATTACCAGTGAAATTATTACACCGACTCCTAGATTAGAAATAGGAAGTGAAGTGGTAGAGCACGTTGACCCCTACACTTATTTGGAAAGTACCATCAGCCAGTGCCAACGGGTTGATCTCTGACGAAATCTCAGTACGAATACAGAGGGCTAGTTTCGCATATGCCAGTTTACGCCGTCTCTGGCGTAGACGTGATATCCGACTATCGACCAGAGGGCGTGTGTACTGCTCATTAGTCCTCTCCGTCCTCCTTTATGGCTGTGAGACCTAGCCGTTGATAGTGGAAGACATGAAAAGGCCGGTTAGCTGTTTTTGATCATAGGTGTTTGCGTTCTATCTCCCGTGTGAAGTGGTACAATAAGGTGAGCAATATTGAGGTTAGGCGTCGAGTGCTAGGTAAGGAGGGAAAAACAGTCGACGAGACTGTGAAATTACATCGACTGAGATGGTTAGGACATGTGTTACGCATGCATACCTAGTCATCGCCTTCCTCGACGGGCAATGTTAGCTGATATAGGGTCAGGCTGGAAAAGAATTGGCGGCGGTAAAACGAAAACATGGCTTCACCAGTCAATGAAATCTACAACGGTTAGTTTAAGCCACGTAGGAAGATGTAGAGTAGCTTCCTGGTTGGTGTCGTCGGGACAGTTAAAACCAATGGTTGGAAACAATCGGTGACATGGCTCAAAATCGTTCCCAATGGCTGGTTCAGATGCATCCACTCCTTGTGACTTATGATTTCCAATGAAACTGTTTTGTTCTTCGTTATTACTATTCCTTTGTCTCACACCTCTGTTTACTGTCTATATTATGCATTTCTCCTACTTTCTTCCCTTGCTTTGTGTGGTACATGGAGGGAGTGTGGCGACTTGAACTTCCGCACATATGTGCAAAGTTCTATGTCGAAAACCGACCGACCGATTTCCAGTGAAAGCGTTTCAGAGCAGATTATCTGAATTTGCGGCAATGAAGGGAACACACACACCCACATGTAGTAATCTCGATAAAGAAGTAAGGTTGAACATGGACCAAAATCAACCTCATCTCATGAAAAAATGCATAAACGCTACTACCGGTGAAACTAATGAAATTAACCGTAACTGACTTCACCGACTTGTTACCGGGGAATAGTCTTGTTGACTTTGAATATAAGGATTGATATAGCCCCCTCCCTCCTTAGGTGAAGACGCTAATAGAATGTAGAGTCTTTTGAATACCTTGGATAGGAATTTTTGAACGTTTGGCATATGATTCGCTCATGTCGAATGTAAGATAATGCTACAGGACTGGACTACATCGAGCATATTGACCACTTCATTTATTCGGGGAAGTGACTTAGCTCCAATGACAAGATCTCAGCAGGAATACAAAAGGCTCGTGTGGGATTTGTCAGCCAACGTTATCTATGGCGTAGACGTGATATCCAGCTAGCTACCAATCGAAGGACGTGAGTGCTGCAGAGCTCCAGGTTCGCTCTGTCCTCCTTTATGTCTACGAGACATGCCTACTGAAAGTCGAAGACATAAAAAGTCTAGCTGTATTTGACTATAGACGTCTGCGCTCCATCTCCCATGTCAGGTGGTATAATAGGGTGAGCAATATTGAGGTTAAGCGTCGAGTGTTAGGCAAGAAGGGAAGGTCCATCGGTGACACTGTGAAGCTAAATCGATTCAGGTGGCTAGGACATATGTTGCGCATGCCTAGCGATCGCCTTCGTCGACGAACAGTGTCAGTCGACATAGAATCAGGTTGGAGAAGAGCTAGTGGTGGTCAAAGCAAAACTTGCCATCAGTCAATGTAATCTCTGACAGTTAATTTAAGCTAACGACGTAAGGAGGTGTAACTTGTCTGGCTGGTGTCCTGAGGATTCTAAGAACCACTGACTGGAGACAATTGGTGATATGGTTAGAAATCGTTCTGAATGGCTCAGATGCATCCACTCTTTGTTATATGCCATATCCAATTAAACCCTATTGATTTTCAATGTTACTAATCTTTTCCCCTCACAAGTTTGCTTACTTTTTTTTGTCTTCTCATGTCTTCTAAATGGAGTGTGGCAGGTTGAACTGTTGCACTTCTTGCAATATTCCGTGTCGAAACCAGTCAGTCACTTACCCACTGAAACTTCAGAACTCAGGCTGGTAGCCCACTCGAAACGCAGTGGATTAGAATATATGAAAAATAAATTCAACTTATAAATAGCTGCTAACTTCTAGGATGCTATGAAAATATAGTTTGTAGAATGTAATTCTGAGTAATATTCGTTCTAAAGTACAGAAGCTTAGCTTTTTGGTCAACAAGAAATTCGGAACTTTCAATAATTAAAGACTAAGACCTGTTGTACAAGAAGTAACGGAGTAACGATGGGTGTTGGATTTTGACTCTCATTGCGGACACCATCACTTATTATGGATGTGAGTATTTACAGCTGACGAGTCTCAAATAGAATGAAATGCCTGGATTCCCCTGCTAGCCACCATCTTTCTTTCTGACTGTTATTTTGAGGTGTTCATTTTTTTTCCTAATTTTCGTTTCACTGTATTCGTTTTACATTCCGAGTGGAACCTGGGGTTTCAAGCTACAGCTTTGAAGTTTCGGTATCAGTGGTTTTATTACTACAGGGTGATGATTGCTAGACTCATGCCTAACTTTCCCCCTTTACCGAAATTATCACCGGCTTAGCAAGGAGGATCGAACCCCAGACTAGATGCATGGTTGACTGGCGTTCTACCGTTCAACCACCGAGTCGTTCATGTTGAGTTGATTGCAAATAAATTAAGATAATAAGGGAGGAGTGCAGATCAGAATTATTATAATTTCAGTAGTTTTGTTAACCGTCACTCAGTAGATGTGGTTCATGCTTTGATGCATGAATATATCTGCAAGATAATAAGAACTCGCTTAATTTCGTCGGGTCTTTTTAACTGCGTACCACCTAAACAATATCAAAATATCAAGTTTCAAAATACTTTTTGAGCATACTTTTCTCACAGTGACGTCATGTTATGGATAGAAAGTATAAGCAACATCAATGCAAAAAAATGATGCAAGTAGACAAATAATTTCACATAATTCTAATTCAAGGTTATTTAAGGTGGTGAAAGCACTTTGGATTACTCACATACATCCTAAACTATGTGTAAAAAACAAACAATAGACTTCAACATCCGCCTACCATGGACTCTGACTACTTGACCTATTTAAATATGATTGGTCATTAGTACGTACTTTTGTTTTATATAACTGAGTAATTGTCATGCATTTTACTTTATTTTATTATTGTGAACCATGATAGTTGTGAAGCGATTGTATAGAAACTACGAAATGTGATATCATCCCGTGAAGTTTGTCTTCTAACTACATATTGAGTTGACATTTCTTCTTTTCAGCTTTATCCTCCTACTTACACTATTACTTATTATTATTATTACAGATCATGGATAAACATACTATTGGATTTGATGTATTCCTTGGACGGCATAGTTTCACAGATGCGGAATTAGCTAATCGAAGTCTACAAGAGGTAGCATTGTTTGGCAAAGATACAAAAGATGAAAGATTTCAGCGGATGAAAGGTTCTTTATTGGTTGAATTCTATACAGTTGGTGAAGAAGACTTCATGAATATTTAACAATAATCAGTTGGCTGTCGTCTGATCTCATATGTATAAACGGACACAAACACACACACTGCTTGCCTTTCATCGACAAATTAAAAATGGTTGTGATCTATGGGATGTCGGTACTGTGATAAATTACTTTCCTAGTGTCTTTTATTATTATTGTTTGTAATTTGTTCTTATATTTGTATAACTTTTGATATTTGCCTTGAAAAAAATATGCTTTTTGTTGTATTATTTTATTGTATTTTACGTTATTGCTGAAGAAGGGATTAAATGGTTATTACAAATACATGTTTAATGGTGTTGGGCACTTGACTTGACTGGTTAAAAATCATACAATTTGATTGAATGAAAGTGTGGTGAGATGGATGTTTAGTGTTGATGATGTAAGCAGAGAGAGAGAGAGATGCCACAGCCGATTGAACAGGTGCATGTTTATGTTGTATCACACACAATTTCGGGGCTAAAGATTCTGTTAAATTTTGCTCACCAAAACAGAAATTGAAAACATTTATTTCCCGATACGAATTTAAAACAAGCAATAAAGGTTAATGTGCGTCGGTGGCATAGCGGTTAGGACGCTCGCCGACCATGCGCATGGTCCGGGGTTCGACCTCCTGCCGATGCACACCTGATATCAGTGGTCGGCCTGCAAGATTTGGGCTACCGATATCACATGCTGAAAATTCCATACTTCTCCCAAAAAGTACTGTGTGGAATCAAGCTATAATCAAAAAATAAAAAATTGTTGTGTCATCATTATAATCATCGTTATTATTGATGTTCAAAACGTTTACCAGATTATTTTTCAAGAGTTGTTTTGTAAGGATTGATATCATTTAGAGAACCATTGAAAACCAGCAGAGAGTACTGGACAGCCGTTTCATCCTAGTTCTGGGGATCATCTGCAATACACATCCACTGGGGTTCGAATCGTTACAAAATAACTCTTGAAAATTAATCTGATGCTCGCTAGTGACTTCCTACAGGATGGCGTTTCCTGGACTTCTAGTGAGAAGTCGTAACCAGTGAGGATGGATTTCTCACCGATGACATTGGTTGGTTGGTGGTCGCGCTAAATCACGAATTGGTAGAGGTTAGAATTCATGGACTGGCCATTGAATTGGGTCCCAGTGGCTGATGAATGGTATACAAGCTTGCCTTTTAACCGAAAGGTGCTGGGTTCTAACCGTGGTGGTGGGTTCATACTGCCGATGATTCGAAAACTAGGATGAAACAGCTGTCTGGAAGTACTCCCTGGTGGGTTTCAATGGTTCTCTAACTGACATCAATCTTGGGTCAAACTGGAAAAATCAACCTATGGAAAATCAGAGTAAAGCCTAATGAAGTTCTAGTTGAAAACAACAATATTGTTCGCTGAT